TGTTGTACCGCGAACAGTTTTGTAGTCACTGCCCATAAGGCCAAGGTGGGGACCAGACCAGGTCAGAAGTGTAGATGTCAGAAGGGAGTTGGCGCCAAAAAGAAACTCCAGTAGACCAAAATGATTGTCCTAATGAGTTATGGCCTTCGGAGGCTCCTGCAGAGCCACACAGCTCCAGCGGTACCTCCTACCCGGAAACTTGTCCACGCCCTACTTGGGCTCCGCCTTGAGGCGGCAGGACTCCAGAGCGCCTTCCACGCCACTCTCTGGACTGTACCCATGGCCACCTGCAAGGAGGTGAATGTGTCCGGCTTCGAGGAGTTCGACCAGGCTGTGAAGGAGCACAAGGGCAAGACAATTTTTGCCTACTTCAGCGGCTCTAAGGATGCAGAAGGGAAGAGCTGGTGCCCGGACTGCGTGGAAGGTGAGACCGGGACTGCAGGTTGCTGCACGGCACCAGTGGTGGGAAGAAGGCCCCTACTAAAGCCAGAAAGTGAGATTGTGACGGCGAAGATGGTCTTGTTCCCGTATTCCCGTAGACCCTCTTCTGAGGGTCTACGGGAACATTAGGTCCTTATTCGCCACCCAAGGGTGGCCCACCTCGTGGGTCTCATGGACTGGAACCTGATTCTTTAAAATTCTCAGTTCTCCAAAAATTAGTGTCTTACGGGACTCGCGAGTTCGTCTTTCCGTTGTATGCTTTCCGATGTTCTGGGTGTGTCTTAAGGACAGTCAGGACTACGACTTAGTGATTCTCGAGTTCAAAAGAGAACACCTGACTTTAACATCCTCATTCTTACTGCAGGTTAAAGTCTACCAAGACTGAAGTAAGGGGAGGGGAAGTGGGGGCAGGGCACGGGCTGTCACAGTTGATGTGTAATTACTTTTAACTTCTTTAAAAAGCTGAGCCAGTGGTTCGAGAGGGGCTGAAGAGTGTTACTGAAGACTGCGTGTTCATCTACTGCCAAGTAGGAGACAAATCTTAGTAAGTGATCATGTATACCGTATCTCCAGATTCGGAAAAACTTAGGCTAAAGGGATCTCATATTTAAATGCTCAAGCTCTGTTTTAGGTAATGTCTGATAAGCCAAACAATTAGAATTACTGAATGCAAATTTAACATTTATGTTCAGCCACATAATACCATCAATGAATTTGGTCTGGAATAAGATCAGAATCTATTGACTTTACATTTTGTTTTATCTTAGCCACATTTTCTTTTTCTTTCTTTTTTTTTTTTTTTTTGGTTTTTTGAGACAGGGTTTCTCTGTGTCTTTTGGAGGCTGTCCTGGAACTAGCTCTTGTAGACCAGGCTGGCCTCAAACTCTAAGAGATCCGCCTGCCTCTGCCTCTCAAGTGCTGGGATTAAAGGCATGCGTCAACACCACCTGGCTGTCTAAGCCACACTTTAAATGTAAACTTTGTAGAGGATGATACGTAAGTTTCAATCTTCAAAATGTTTACACATTAACAAAAGCAGTAATTATTAGTATACTAAATATAGATCTACTGTTGAATAATCTGTAATAAACCAAATAGTATTTTTCATGATCCTTTTCTTTTTGGAATAGCTGGAAAGACCCAAATAATGACTTCAGACAACAACTGCAAGTAACTGCAGTGCCTACACTACTTAAATATGGAACCGTGAGTATCTACCTTTATGTAGTGGCTATAATACAGTTAAAACTCAAGTTATTTAGTCTTGTTTGAAAAGATCATGACTCCCCCCCCCCCTCCAGTCAGGGTTTCTATTGATAACTAACAGTCTTGGAACTTGCTTTGTAGACCAGGCTGGCCTCAAACTGACTGCCTCCCAAGTGCATTTGAGTTTCAACATCACATTGTTGTTCATAATGCATCACAAAACAAGCTGGTACCCATTCCCCAGCCAATCCAATGAACTGTTACTAATGCTTTCTAGCCATAGTTAAGATTCTGTGTTCAGAAGAAAGGTGACTCACTCCTGGAAGCACCTACGTCATGCTTTCTAACTCCATTTTTAAGGTTTAAAGGGGCGCTCCCTTTATTTCAGCCCTGCCCCTAGAATCCTAAATTAAAGAGAGGGAAAGAAATGGCACTGGGCTTGCCATCTCTTGTTTTCAGTCTATGGGGCTTCCTGGTATGGAAGTTTAAGGCCCTTTGGGCCAAGTATTTTAATGATTCATCTTAAGACAAATATCTTAACTATTTCATAAAGCTTGTTATAACTAGTTGATAGCTCTTCCCCCCACCCCAAGAAAGGGTTTCTTTGTGTAGCCCTGTCCTGTAGAACTCACTGTAGACCAGGTTGGTCTTTGAAGTGCTGGGATTAAAGGTGTGTGTCACCAGGCCCGGCTAGCTGATAGTTTCTGATGGCAACATTTCTGTGTTCAAAAAACGTCATTTAAAGTAGAATTCACTCCACCCCTGGTAACATTCATAGCAGTGTTAAAACTTAACTGGTTTGTTCTGTTTTGTTTTTTTACAGCCTCAAAAACTTGTGGAATCTGAGTGCTCTCAGGCCAACCTCGTGGAAATGATATTCTCTGAAGATTAAGATTTAATGATAGCACTTTGTGATGGTAGACCATGCTTTTAATCCCAGCACTTGGGAAGCAAAGGCAGGTGGATAGGCGAGTTCAAGGCCAGCATGGTCTACAGATCGAGTCCCAGGACAGCCAGGGATATACAAAGAAACCTTGTCTCCAAAAACAAACAAACAAGATTTGATGATCACAATTGTGTGTTGATTTCCTGGTTTGCTTAAAAGAAGCCACATACTTGCTTTGAATTGATCAGTGTATGTCTAAACAATAAAGAATTAAAATACAAACCTCCAATTAGCTTTGTAACATACATCTTTAGTATGGCAGTGCTAGCTCAGAGGAAATATTGAAGATAAGACGTAATTTGCTAACTTCCAAGTCTAGCTATTAGGACTTTAAATTCTATGTATTTGCAAAACCCTTTCCTGCCTTGAAAGGTAGAACTTCCCTAAACCATTTAGAGAAGACACTTGGAATGCATATGCTTAATTCAGGCCAGTTTTGTTTCACAACTGTCTAGAATGTGATTCTCTTGGAATGAGACAGTCTGGTTCTCCAAGCCAAGGCAAGTTACTGTCTAAATCTCAATTTCTTCAAAAAAGAATTGTGTCAGGCATTGTAATGCACACCTGTAATCTTTCCACTTTAGAGGCTAAGAGAATCACAAATCTGAAGAAAGGGTAGAGTACAGTACCAACCAGACCTTGTCACAAATGAAAAGCCCAACTAATTCTACAAACAAAACAAAAATGTGGACTGAAGAGGTAGTTCAGTGGTTAAGAGTGCTGGCTGCTCTTCCAGGTTCGATGCCCAGCTCAAAACTGTATCTTACACCCAGGGGAATCTGATACTGTCTTCTGAGAGCATCAGGCATGCAAGTGGTACAAACATACATTGTGTAGGCCAAACATTCACATGACCTAGTAGCTATCCGTAAGCCCAGTACTCAAGAGATTAAGTTAATAGGCAGCCTGGGCTACAAAGTGAGACCCTGTCTCAAAAAAAGAGAAAAAATGAGGGCTAGAGAGATGGCTCAGTGGTTAACAGTACTTGCTGTTCTTCCAGAGGACCCAGGTTTGGTTCCTAGTACCACATGGTGACTCACAACCACCTTCAACTGTTCTTCTACTGGCCTCCTTGGACACCAGGGACATGATGCAAATATATGCAAGCAATTCACACAGACACATAAAATAAAAATCTTGAAGTAGAAACATTTTAAGGTAGTTTCTATTGTGGTACTTGTCAAATAAATGCTAACCTTCCCAAAGAAAGGTATTTTAGGCTCACCTTGAAGGACAAGAGTCCAATTAGTCATAACGACCAGTCTTTCCCTGCCACTACTATGTCAGCTATCTTACAGAGCAGGGAGCAATTGAATATGTCCTCTACTGCAGAAAGAAGGAACTCTGATGTAGTCCTTGTTCTTAGTTTAAAGCTCCTTGGTTCCAGGACCCCTCTCCTGAAAATGAGGTGAGACAGGGATATGGAACCTAATCTCAGTAAGGTTCCTAGAGATGACTTGGCTCAGGGTACCACTGTATGTCACACCCATGTTCTTAAACTGCTCTATAACACCTAACATTTACATTCTTATTCACTTGGTTCTGTTAAATGCAAAGGAAATATACAAATCCCCAGAAATCAAAGTAGAACAATTCTGGTTTAACAGAAATAATCTATTAACAATATAAAGCTTGTTGACCAAAAATAACACTAATGGTTCTGAGTGCTAGATAATAAAGGTGAGCAGGAAGAATCTTCCTTTACCAGTACTGTACAATAGCAATACATTATATACATGTCCCAAGAGCCAGGTCTGTCCCCAGCTCTTCATTTTCCTGTTGTGTTATTCTGCTGTTGCTGCTCTGCCAGGGCTTGCTGAAGACGCATCCGCTTCCGGGAATAGTGCTGCCAGTGTAGAATCTGCTGTTCATCAATGAATTTCGCACACTGAGCATTCACCAGCTCCTTTCGAAAGTGTTCATACTGGAGCAGTTCTAACATGTGTAAACACTGAGGGTACCTGGGTTTAAGTTCATAAGTTAATTATCAACATAATTTAAGGCATCCAAAGTTCTAATTCAGATACTCCCCTAAAAATGATCTTAAGCCTACAATTTCTTATGTTACTCCCACCATGTTATTTCAGAACATTACACAAAATTAAAGTTCAGAAACCTTTAAGTAACTTCCAGACCACACAACCCAGTAAACTGGTAAGCAATGTCAAAATTGATAAACCGTTCTCTTTTAATTTTCCAAGTGAGGAACATGAACACTTTTTAATTTAAAATTTTTTATTTCATTTATTTATTTAGTGTTTGTGTGAAAAGGAGAGTAAAGACATGCCATGGGATACTTGTGGAGGTCCCCAAGGGTTCCCAGGAATCAAACTCAGGTCATCAGGCTTGCAGGCAAGCACCTTTCTTTACTCACTGAGCTATCTCACTGGCTCTGAAGACTTTGAAAATAGTTATATGTTTAGTAAATACTCAGGAAACTTGAGAAAACCATGAACAAATATTGTGCTCTAACTATCCATGGGAATTATAACAAGAAATCATGTATATTCTAGGACTGAGCAGTACAATAGGATAAAAAGAAGCTAAATACATGATTATCAAAAAAGGATAAGGAGAGGGGGAAGTGCTGTGTCACTGAGCTGGAACTACAAAGAGTATGTTCTCGTGGCCTTTTTAAAAAAATATTTTATGGCGCCGGGCATTGGTGGCGCACGCCTTTAATACCACCACTCGGGAGGCAGAGGCAAGCGGATCTGTGAGTTCGAGGCCAGCCTGGTCTCCAGAGCAAGCGCCGGGATAGGCTCCAAAGCTACACAAAGAAACCCTGTCTCAGGGGGAAAAAAATTATGTTTATGGGTGTTTTCCTTGCATGTAAGTCTATGTATTACAGGCATGCAGTGCCCATGAGTGTCAGAAAAGGGCACTGGATCCCCTAGGACTAGATGGTTGTAAGCAACCATGTGGGTACTGGATATCAACCTGGGTCCTTTGGAAGAGCAGCCAGTGCTCTTAACCTAATGACCTATCCAGCTCCATCCTCATGGCTTTTAACACAAACACACAGAAATAGTCATAGATATGTATGTGTGCATATGCAAACATATACATACATACCATTCCTAGCTCTGTATGCACAAGGGCCTACAAACAAAAACACCGTAATATCAATGAGCACACTTAAGTCTCTAGAGCTTTGTTCTCAAATAGCATTTTCCAGAGTTCCTTGAAACAACTAATTCCAGGGCTAGAATGGACAAAGTACAGCATGAATGCAGGGTACAACATGTCAAAAAGAAGTGCTAATCATGGATGGGGATGTCACAAGTACATAAGAGCCGATCTAAAGGTGCTCAGCAGCCAATCCTGCTGGAATGAGAGCCAAGAAAAGATGACTGTAATCACAGGATAAAAACCAGAATCCAACTGCCAGGTGGTGGTGGCCCATGCCTTTAATCCCAGCACTCAGGAGGCAGAGGCAGGCAGATCTCTGTGAGTTCGAGGCCAGCCTGGTCTCCAGAGCGAGTGCCAGGAAAGGCTCCAAAACTACACAAAAAAACCCTTTCTCAAAAAACCAAAAAAAAAAAAAAAAAAAAAATAAAAAGCTGATACTGATATACATGTCTGAATGAGTAACAAGGGAATGTTTTTCCTTGCTATAGAATTCTAACTAGTAAATATAGAATGATAGAAAATTCCACAGAAAAAAACTGAGGCAAGTATCTGTAACAGTGCTAAAATTAGGGAGAAGTGAACAAATGGGAGCAAAGTATAATGACACATGTATGAAGATGAAGGCTAACCTAAATTATTACTTGATTAAAAAACACTAAAATTCCCAGGTGGTGGTGCACACCTTTAATCCCAACACTTAGGAGACAGAGGCAGGAGGATTTCTGTGAGTTGGAAGCCAGCCTGATCTAGAAAAAAGCGTTCCAGGACAGCCAGGGCTGTAACACCCTGTCTCAAAAAAAAAAAAAAAAAAAAAAAAAAGTGAATAAAATTTATGTAATAAGATGTCTATATAGTCTCAAAGTATTTTCCCCACAAGTTACTTATTAAATACCAAACAGTAACTTGATGTGGAGAAATCTGGAAGGCACCACCTAATGCAATGGATCAAAATTCACATTACTAATAAGACAGACTTCACCTGTCTCTGGATTATGACAAACCAAGAAGGACAAAGTAACAAAGTATCAAGTCAGTGTTTGGTCAGCCTCAGAAAGAGAAACAGAGTGAGAGACTAAGTGGGAAGTAGGAGACAGGGAGGCAGAGAGAACAAGGAATTCAAGACTAAGAAAACAGGATGACAAAATGTAACATATAAACCTAGACCGGATGCCACACTAGATACAGGACACTAATAGGACAAGAGACAGAATCTAATGGGGTCCATAGGATACAGAGTAGATGAGCATTAATGTTCTATCAAAATGAAGATCCTGGCAGTCTCATTCCAGTGCAGCTTTTGCCTCTTTCAGAATTACTCAGAAAAGTCAAGAGAAAGCTACTTTCTCTTCTTGCTATCTCTCTGCTAAGCATGCCTCCCTAACACTTTGAGGTTCCATACTTTCTTTGCCTCCCTTCTGTCCCACTGCCTTCCATGTCAGCTTAACTCCTTCCATTCTCCTCCTTTGGGGTATTTTCTTGTAAATGCTAATAATAATTTTGTCCTGGAGCTTTTAAAAGGAGGAAAGGGGATGAGAAGGTGATAGGAAAATAAGGAGGAGGCATGGGAGGCACATAGGGGTGGGGGGTAGGAATGGCTATGGCTGCCACTGCAGAACCAATGCTATGCTTCTCTTCCAGTAATGGCTTATTTTTTATATTTCAAATAAAGAGTTTTCTGTAATTGTAATAGCTTAGCCCAGAATGCCCTATTCCCACTATACTAGCTAATTCCCTTTCATGGCACATCAGTAATTTAAAAGATTCAGCTCTGAGTATCAGGTAGGTAGCTTTAAAGACATTTAAACCTCTTAAGTTCAGTTTCTTTATATACAAAATAATATAACCTGCAAGTAAATGGCCTTAAGTAGCATTTAGTCAGTAACTAGAATTTAGGCAGTGATCATTTCCTTGTCAATTTTATAGGAAACAACATTCTTAATACATTAGACTACACATATTCTGACAGGCTACAACACACTAACTCCAAGTATACAGGATTAAATAGAAGAGGTACAAATGGAAAGACTCACATTTTGACTTTTGGAAAGTAACCAAGACATAAACAGAGAAGTCAAGTGAAAGCATTCAATTCATGAAAATAACTGGTGGATTTTAGTTGGTATAAAGCTCCCAGGAATTCAACGATTTGACTCCCAAACATCTTCCACTCAAAAACAGTATAGTCAACCTATTTTAAATTATCACAAGGAAGAAAAATGCCATGTGGTCTGTGTTACCCTGACCACATTTGAAGGCCTATGTTTAGTTTTTAAATTTGTATTTATTTATATGCATGGGCATTTTGTTGCTTATCATGTATGTATAGTGCTTTCATAGCCGAAAGGCATCAGAACTTATGGAGCTGGAATTTTGGATAGATGTGACCCACCACTGGGTGCTGAGAACAAACCTGGATCCTCTGCAAGAGCAGCAAGTGCTCTAAGCACTAACCAATCTCTCTAGCCACCCCTCTCCCAAATTATTTTATCTTGAGCCAGGGTCTCATTATATAAACGATTATATAACCAGGTTAACCTCTCACTCTAGAGATTTCCCTCTGCTCCTTCCAAGTGCAGGGACTAAAGGCATATACCACTTGGCTTGGCTTATATTTAGTTTTTTTTTTTGAAATGCCAGATAATCGAAGGGTTCCTGAAAATACTGGAAACCATGGCACTAAAAAACTGAAGGCACCTGAGAACAGATGTTTTAAGAGAAAGACTGCTGCTGCATGTACTAGGTATCAGAAAGCAGGCCACATGCTGGGAAGTCTGGAAGGGACAGTATTCCTCAGCTGCAATCAACTGGTGACCTATAAAAAAGAAGGCCTCAGCGCTTCTCAAGGTCCAAGAGTTGGAATTCTGTTACATAAAACCTTCCCATCTTTAAATTTTGGCAATTATTTTAAAAATCTAAAATCATGTGCAGATAACAATGAAACTGACCAACATGGGTTAATTCACAATCTCTCTTGAGTTTAAACATCTATAGCTACTATCTCCAAGAGGGCACAGATTAATAGAAAAAAAAATCTATAAACAAGGAGGTCTGTCTGATAACAATATAAGGAAGAGTTGTCCTTCTGGCTATAATCTCTGGCTATCAGTGAAGTAAGCTTCCTCTAATAGAGTGACATATGTTCGCTGGAGGCCTCCAACCAGAGTATAGTTAGTTATCATCCAACAATTCTGCTGGTAAGACTGAACTTGAATTGAAGGTGACTAAGGCTTTTAATACCCAGTCTGTAAATCTGCTAGCACTGTTATAACAGCCTAATAACTTAAAAGTCTCTCCTTCAGATTCCTAAAGGAATCAATAATTGCATCATAAAGAGCAAATCCGGTGCAATCTGTTCTACAGGCAGTCCAGGATCAATTCAGAAAAGTGACTAGGATATAAAGAAAAGGCTTGAAATGTTTCCCTCTAATTTTTAAGATAGGGTCTATGTAGCCTTGACTGGCCTGAAACTTGCTACATAACTAAGCTGGCCTAAAACTCACCGGGATCTGCCGGATCTTCCTGAGAGCAGGGATTAAAGGGGCATCAGGCTAAAATTTCTGGGTTTGTTGTTGTTGTTGTTGTCCACCCTTTTAGGGGAGGGGGAGTTCAAGACAGGGTTTACCTGTGTAGCCCTAGCTGTCCTGGAAGTAGCTTTGTACACCAGGCTGGCCTTGAACTCAGAGATCTATCCACCTCCACCTCTACCTCTCAAATGCTGGGATTAAAGGTGTGTACCAGCTTGTTTTTCTTTTTTAATTAAGACAAAGCAGAGGGGTGAGTTCAAGGTTTTGTTTTACCATTCAAAGGGATAGCTGTGTAGTTGTGATGTTTCTCACAATTGTCTATCAAACAACTTGACAGTGTTCATGTTTGTCTTTCTTTTGTTTACAGTGAGTTAATGTGCACGATACATTTAGCACAGTACTTGACACATAGGAAACTATAAAGAAGACAGTAAGTCTAAGACTCCCAGAAAACACCACTTCTTATATGTTCATTTTCAGCTTATGGCTATACCACTACATTTTAGTAGTTTATAGGTTGGAAGGCATTAGAAACCCAGAGAGACAAGGGGAATGCTAAATGACAAGTTCAGACAGACCAAATCAAATCAGAGTCTTACTCTAAAACTAGTTACTGGATTTTATCCTACATGAATAGAAGTGGCATGTTCTGATTTATACTACTAAGACAGTAAATTGGTTTTGACAGACAACTGTTTGGCTTTGTTTGGTTTGAAGGGAGTGAGGTAAGAATGACAGCAGAAATAAGTGAGATTACTGTAACAATTCAAATTAGAAATGACAATGACATGACATGAACTAAAAGCAGAAAAATTCAAAACATAGTTTGCCATTCTGACACCGAGAAAACTGCTAAATATAAGCACTTCGTATTTATAATAAAGTATACACAGATTTAAGATTATAAAAATTAAACTTACTTTAGATACTTGGCATATTCTGGTTCTTTCCAGTAAAGCAAGTACTTAAGATAATTTACAAAAGCTTTGTCTTTGAAGTAACCTCTTTGGGCAAGAACTGAAAGGCATAAAGAAACAATCTGTATGTCAACCAACTGCTGGACTACTGACTTGTAATCGCTACAATAAAGTAGCTCTTTTAACATTCCTACCATCAAAACACAAGGAATTAAAAAACACAAGTCCTTGTTTGCTCAGTTAATAACTACAGACCATCGAAAGTAAAATCCCATTCAAACATACCGAAGTAAATACTATTATGAATTCCATCTCTTCTGTCAGAAATCATTAACAGCTAGCTACTCAACTTAATGATGTACTCGACTTACAATTAAGGTAATTTGGGTTGGCTAAACATTGCACAAATTCCAACTCCAACTGAAACCGAAGTCGATTTCCAGCATCATCTAGGAGAAAAAAGTAAAAGACACCCAAAATAAAAGTCACGATACCAATGATTTGTAGAAACAAAAACAAACTGCCAGTGAGACTGCTCAGCATGTAAAGGTGCTCACAGAAAAGTCTGATGACCTGAGCTCCATCCCTGGAACCCGCAGGGTTGCAGGAACAGTAGACTCCTGCAAGTTGTCCTCTGACCTCGGCATGCACCGCCCACCCCCATAGGAATGAATTTATGAAACAAATACCAAACTGCAGGAGAGATTTCCTTAGAAATCTCAGAGTGGAGCCTGGTTTAAAACAAAACAAGCCGAGTGGTGCATGCCTTTAATCCCAGTTCTTGTAAGGGGGAGGCAGGAGGATCTCTGTGAATTCCAGGCCAGCCTGGTATACATAGCCAGTTCCAGGCTAGGCAGTAGTACATAGTTAGACCCTGTCTTCAAAACAAAACAAAGATAATAAATTACCTAAAGTTAGTTGAGAAAAATAAACGAAACGGCTATTTAAGGCCACTATGGGAGGATGGTAACAGAGATCACTGGTTGGTCTGTAATAGCTGTGCCACCCCCAATGTTAGCGTTACAACCACAACTACTAACAGTGATTAAGTTAAACAAAAACAAAGTGCTAAATAAAAGCAGGAAGCAAGATGCAAAATGATTAAACAGCGGGGAGGAGACGGTAATCCGTATCAGAACCATACACGTTACAAACATTTCAAGCAAGTTCACGGGAAAAGCTCCATAGAGCAGACAATTGAAGGGCTCGGTCCTCTCCCTCAGTCCCACCCCGGCCCGCGAGCCAGGGAGTGGAGGTGTGAGCAGCCCAGGAGCAAAGATGTCGTTCACACAGGCCACAATCAGAGACAACACCGCCTTCTCCCCCACCGATCCCAACTCCTTAAGGATGCCGGGTTAAGCCCGAAAGACGGCGCGGGGAAACCGGAGAGAAGGGGGGAGGACCCGTTCCCTC